GGTGTTTGTCTTTCTCAGTCTGACTTATTTCACTTAGCATAATACCCCCTAGGTCCATCCATATTGTCACATCCCCCTTAACTTTTAACACTTAAGCGGACAGGTTTAATCAGCCGGCCCCATTTCCCGTTTTATCCCCTCAAAATGGCTAAAAGGTGAATGCCTGCGGGAATGGATGACATTGTTGTTCTCAATAGTCTAGAGTTCGTCCAGTTGTCTGGGAGGATGTTTCACAGTGTGGACTTCTGGTTACTTCTTCATGATTAGATTTAAGTCAAACATTTTTAGTGAGAATATTAGAGGTGAAGTTGCATGCTTCTCACTGGATCTCATAATGTCTGCATGTCCTGTTATTGTTCATCCTAAATTTGAGCACGTGGTTAGTTGGTATCTGTCAGAGCTCCCCATTGTACAGTTACCTTTTTTCCTTAGTTATTAAGTAATCTGTGGGGTGATACTTGGAGACTGTGTGACTGTCCTATTCCCCAGCTACCTTTTACTCAGTGATTTTAGCACCCGTTGATCCTTGCCTGAGTCAGGGATCATACTGGTTGCAAAATAATGACTTCCTAGTTCTATCATTCTTTCTACTTTCACTAGCTGGCATTTTTCTGTAAAGAAGAATTTTCCCCTTTCCTTCAGTTTTTCTCTGTCTTGCTCTCTTTTTCTAATCCACAGAACATGAACAGTGGTTCTATTACTACACCTATACCACTACCGACAGCAAACCTACTCAAGTTCTAGGTGGCTTTGCCTTTGCTACTGTTGTTAGAATATATTCCACAAGGGTGTGTGTAGGTAGAGCACTGTGTTTAAAAGATGCTTGAACTAATTATTTTTCCCTATGTGTTTATATATTCAATTTGATCTACATTTAGAAGAGGTAATATCTTTTTAGAAAGTGTATTTTCTAACTTTGTGCCAGGAGTATACAAGTACANCACTGGCCCATGTGGGAATTGAAACAGTGACCCTGTTGCTCAGAGCTCACACTCTTAACCAACTGAGCCACTTGGCCAGCCCCCCAAAATGTCATTTTCCCAAACCAAAATAATTTGTTACTAAATTCTGTGGATGGGATCACACTGCTTCCAGTTCGTTCTTCTGTATATTAGAGAAGTGATGCTATCCTGTCAGGAGCAGAGCCTAGGCCATGTCCCTCTGGTGTTCTCCTTAGCACCGGTCATCCAGTCCTCCCCCCCTCACTGCATTGTTAACCACCAACCCCACCCACCCCAAGTCCTTGAGATCCTTCTTGTTCAGGTCAGGCAGCATTTGCCACTCACTTATCTCAAGTGCCCATGGGGACCAAGCAGCTGCTGAACAGATGTTTGCCTAATTTAATTCCCTTTACTTTCATTTTAGAGAGTAATTATTTTTATAGATGGTTTCAGCTCTGAAGTTGTGACCTGTAGTGGTAATAAGCTAAGTTAAACATAGCAATTTAAAGAAAACCCATCATGTACTGTTTTAGGCTTTAGTGGTTTAGGTAATGGAAAAGCCCGAAACTGTTCAGTCCTTGATGCCAAGTTCCTAACATGTCCTTCATTCCCAGTGGTGGTAGAGCATAGCGGGAGAAAGATAGGAATGCTAATAATGGCCCGGAGGTTTTTTTGGTTGTCGTTAGCTATGCGCTGCCTCGAGTCAGAGTCACAGCACGTAGAGCTCATGGTTGTCACCATCATTCTGTCCTAGCTGACTACAGCACCAGTGAAATGCTGGTCAACATGGGAAACCTGCCCCTGGACGAGTTCTACCCCGCCGTGTCCATGGTGGCGCTGATGCGGATCTTCCGGGACCAGTCCCTTTCTCACCATCACACCATGGTTGTCCAGGCCATCACCTTCATCTTCAAGTCCCTGGGGCTCAAGTGTGTGCAGTTCCTGCCCCAGGTCATGCCCACATTCCTGAATGTCATTCGGGTCTGCGACGGGGCCATCCGGGAAGTAAGTAGCTAAAACTCAACGCCTGCTCCTCCCTGCTCCAGGCCACACCTGCATGGAAGGCCCAGCTGCGCCTCCGCTTCCTAAAACTGCACGCTGCTGGCTGTGGAACCAATGCCTCTCCTCCCCCTTCACTTTGATTGATGTATTTTTGTTGTTGTTTTCCTGTTT